CTGCCCCGGCTCCGCGGGGCCTGGGGCGGCGGCCTCTCTCCTCCATGCGTCCCATAACCACCCTGTTTCCCCCCAGCTCTGAAGAAACTGCGCGAAGCCGCCAACGGCAACGACTTGGACACAGGTGAGGCTCCCGCCGGGCCCTTCGGCCACGGGTCTCTGTTTTCTGAGGAGGAAGCTGAGTTTTACAAAGGGCACTTTGGGTGCTGAGATGTTCCAGCATCCGAGCTCTTCTGGTGGAAAACTTCTTCCTACTGTAAGCAGTAAGAGAGTATTTTGTAAGAAAGAAAAGTGCCAGGTTTACAACCTAGTACCTAGTACCTTGAGATAGCAAGGCCCAGCAGATCATAACGACTGTCAGCCCTCGCCTCTGCCTCTCACAGTGACTGCAGAGCAGGCACGAGGTCTCTGTGAGACCCATCGGCCGTCTTACACTGTGGGTCGTAAGATAGTCGAGAAGTGCGTTGAGAAACGGTTTGGCTTGTAGAAGGTGCTGATGTATCAGGACAGCTGGTTGTGCTCCACCCTGCCACTGCCCCTGCCCATCTGTTTCTGCTGGGGTGTTGAGGGGTGAGAGCAAGTGAGAGGAGTGGGAACATGGCCCGTGCTGCCCAGCGCCGGCCCCTGCGAGCTGGCGGATCTGCCAGCGCGGCGACCTGCCAGGACAGGAAATACGTGACACGGCAGCAGTCACTGAGGCAAGGGGACGACGGAAGGAACCAGGCTTTCAAAGATAGAGCAAATCGGTTAGTATCTTTCACAGATGCAGGAGGAGCTTTACTTTGTGCACTGGTTACCACATCAGGAAAACTGAGAACATGAGGAGCAATAGCACGTTCAGTTGCCCTTGCTGCATGTTGCTGTGGCTGCTGTTCTTTAGTTAGGTAAAACCTTACTAGGCTCTTTGTATCTCTAATACCCGGTACTTGAGAGCCTCACTGGTTCCTCTGCATAAGCAGGTTTTTCTTTCTTATCTGAGAAAGATTGGCAGCTCTCATTACAGGCAGGGTGGTTTGTGGTGGTATCAAAATAGTTGGGTGGAAGATCGAGGGGGAACAAATGAGAGAAAATGATGACAGAGCTTCCAGGAAGGGCTGCTCGGGCTGTCCACCCACTTAGTTGAATAGATTGCTCCCCTTGGGAATGTTTGCACAGCTGTTTGCAGGTCAGTGCACTCACCTGCTTGCTTTGCAGTGAATTGTCACCATTAGTGTGGAGAAAAAAGAAACCTTGAGGTGTCAGATGAAACCAGGAAGCGGCATGTTCCAAACAGAGAGCAGGAGACGTTTGCCTTTGCAGGATGGAGTTACACTGCGAAGCTCTTTGCCAGAGGTGCACCCTGATGTAAAATGTTAACTCCCACTCCAAAGGGAACTGCCTGGATACAGGGAGCAAGCCTGTGGGGGCTGTTAAGTGCAGGGTTTTAGTTCTGACTCACATGGAGGTGACTAAAGGCTGTGAGAGGCACCCACATCCTTGCACTCTTACACTCTTCCACGGGCTTTTGCTGCACCGTTCTGAGCAGGTGCTCCTTCAGCTTACGAGCTTTCTTCTTTTCCTTGGTGCTGTCAGTGCAGCAACTCTTGGAGGATGGAACTGACCCCTGTGCTGCGGACGACAAGGGCCGGACAGCCCTGCACTTTGCCTCCTGTAATGGCAACGATCACATTGGTGAGTGACCTGACTTCTCTACAGCAGAGCTTTCAGACCAAAAGCTTTATTTTGGTTCAGCGCAGGACAGCGTTGTATTCCTTGTACTCTGTAGTAAGGTTGTCAGCTGACTCCTAGCTCTGGGATGTGCCAAGTCTTCCTGCTCCTGCTGAGGTAGGAGCAGCTCCAGCACTAGGCCTGCCCTGGTATAGAAGGAAGGATGTTCTCAGTGCCAGTTCCTCCACGCAGGGAGCCCAGGGGCAGTGCTGCTTGCTAGACATGTGTTTTCTTCTGTATGTGTTGCCAGGATCTCAGTTCCGTGTCTGTGGGAGGAAGCTGTTAATCAGAACAGAAGCAGCCCTGTGGACCTGGGGTGCCTTGGTGTCAAACAGGGCTTCTTGCACTGCTGAGGAGTGGGTTTCAGGGACTGAGGCTTATAGGCCATGACCTGCCGGGCAAAGGGAAGGGACTGACATGGCTCTGTGTCCCTGTTTCCAGTGCAATTGCTTCTGGACCACGGCGCTGACCCAAACCAGAGGGATGGACTGGGAAACACCCCCTTACATTTGGGTAAGTGTCATGCGGGTAAGCTGTGCATGCTGAAAGGCAAGTGCTGCCCAGGTGTTTCCTTCCTCTGCATCCCCCTCTCCTATGCATCACAGTAGCTAGTCCCCAGTGCTAAAGACTTAGGAAGGAGTCTTTGGGTTTCATTAGCTTTACTCCTCATGAAGGGTTAAGGATCAGAGCAGGGAAAATCTATTTCGCTCCCTCTGAAAGCCCCAAGGAACAAGAGACCTGTTCTAGAGAGAGCACCCAGGGTTTAGCCCACAGGGTTACCCTTAACAGTTACCCTTAAGAAGTTTTTTCCATGACAAAGAGCCCTTTGGGAAGTAGCAACCTCCACCTTTGAGCAGAAACTCCTTTGTTTTGGGCTAGCCCTACTCTGAGCTGTGCATCTTGTATTTTCCCTCCCCAGCGGCCTGCACAAACCACGTTCCTGTCATCACCACGCTGCTGCGCGGAGGTAACGTTTCCTCTTTGGCAATAATGGCCTGTACCTTCCTGCCCTGCTCCTCTTAGCATCCCCGCCATGCTAAATGTTTTCAACAGATCTCGCGTTCTGTCCTTGCTCATGCATTTCCCAGGGGCCAGAGTTGATGCCTTGGACCGAGCTGGCAGAACCCCCCTGCACCTGGCAAAATCGAAGCTTAACATCCTGCAGGAAGGACTCTCCCACAGCCTGGAGGCCGTACGCCTTGAAGTAAAACAGGTGAAGGAAACACTTAGAGGTTCTGGTAAGGTGACGCAGCTGCTGGCAGACTTTTGCCCCCCTTTAGATCAAATAGCATTTGGCAGCTGTTTTGAATACCTGTCTCTAGGCTCTTAGCTGCTTTGGGAGAAGCTTGACTTTTTCCTTCTCTTTTCAGAGACTCTGCTTTCTCCAACCACTACCTTGAATTTTTGCAGGACCTGTCTTGGCTGTGGTAGGCCAAGGATGCATTGAATGTCTTACTTCTCAGGCTGTGCAGAACAGTGGTTTCTTCAACCACCGTGTAAGACAGACAGCTGGAGGGACTGCAGCATGAAACTGCAGCTAAGATGTGTATTCCAGTAGGGGCATGTGTTGTGTGGGACATTTCCAGCTGGGAGGGACTGCAGCATGAAACTGCAGCTGTGTATTCCAGTAGGGGCATGTGCTGTGTGGGACATTTCCAGCTATCAAATGCTAGTGCAGACTGCCCTGCTTTTTCTAGTATATGGTGATATGGTGACAGGAGCAAGTTGCAGTGCTGTTTCACAAATGCACAAGATGTGGGTGTCGCTGTAGGAGCCATCCATTAGTGCAGAAGCAGATCTTCAAGGAACAGGAAGTCCCTGCTGTTCCCAGCAAGAAAAGCTAACTGACCAAGAAGAAAAGCTTGGTGCTTTCAAGGCTATCCTAGAACTTGTGCTTCTCCAGCTGGGCTTATCTTTTACCCATTCGTTGGTCCAGCATAGGATCTCAGCTAGTCTGTCTGTGGCTGATCAGCACCTTGGGTGCTCATTGGGCTCTGCTGCTGCCAGTGGGGCTGGCCAGTTGCTTTGCACATGTTCTTCTCTTGCAGCTGTGTTCTGCACAGCTCCAAGGCTGTGCTTGGCAGTTTAGCTGCTTCTCACACAGAAGCATCTGTCCTGGTACAGCTGCCTCTGCTGCCTCCTAATGTCTTTTCTTCCAGATTATCCAGATGTTAAGGGAATACCTGGACCGTCTGGGGAGGCATGAGCAAAAGGAGCAGCTGGATGACCTCTGCTCCAAGTTACAGATGACCAGCACAAAAGAGCAGGTAGGCAGCATGGAGTTGCTCTGACTCATTTCTGTTGTGGAGTTTGTATGCAGGAGAATTCAGCTGCTTGAATAAGGTAATAGTGAAGAAAGCGTTATGGATTCTTGTTCATGTTCACTAAAGCAGCCAATTTTTGTGATGACTTGTGGTACTCCTGTAGGAAAAAGTA